TGTGAGTGTGTGTGTGTGTGAGTGAGTGAGTGTGTGAGTGTGTGTGTGAGTGGTAGTGTGTGAGTGAGTGGTAGTGTGTGAGTGAGTGAGTGTGTGAGTGGTAGTGTGTGAGTGTGTGAGTGGTAGTGTGTGAGTGAGTGTGTGTGAGTGAGTGAGTGTGTGAGTGTGTGTGTGAGTGGTAGTGTGTGAGTGAGTGTGTGTGTGAGTGGTAGTGTGTGAGTGAGTGAGTGGTAGTGTGTGAGTGAGTGTGAGTGAGTGAGTGTGTGAGTGGTAGTGTGTGTGTGTGTGAGAGAGAGTACCGTATCTGCTCAGAGATCTGGTGAAGGTGAAGGAGTTGGCGATATTGTAGGCAGAAACCTGCTTCTGGACCAGCGCCACCAGAGAGCCGTCCGTTACCTAGCAACACACAGAGACACATCAGTCAAACAGCTGACCAGCGGTCCACCAGCGATCCACCAGCGATCCACCAGCGGTCCACCAGCGATCCACCAGCGATCCACCAGCGGTCCACCAGCGATCCACCAGCGATCCACCAGCGGTCCACCAGCGGTCCACCAGCGGTCCACCAGCGATCCACCAGCGGTCCACCAGCGGTCCACCAACGGTCCACCAGCGATCCACCAGCGGTCCACCAGCGATCCACCAGCGGTCCACCAGCGGTCCACCAGCGGTCCACCAGCGGTCCACCAGCGATCCACCAGCGATCCACCAGCGATCCACCAGCGATCCACCAGCGATCCACCAGCGGTCCACCAGCGATCCACCAGCGGTCCACCAGCGGTCCACCAGCGATCCACCAGCGGTCCACCAGCGGTCCACCAGCGGTCCACCAACGGTCCACCAGCGGTCCACCAGCGATCCACCAGCGATCCACCAGCGGTCCACCAGCGGTCCACCAGCGATCCAGCAGTGGGTCGAGTCTTATCTGGTCCAGGATCTGGACTCGGTCTCAAACACTGTGTCACTGCTGATGAAGAGCTCAGACCGCCATCGTCTTCAACCACAGAACGTGTTCCTCTGATTCTACTGGCTTCATATTTACAATATTAGCAAAGTAACTGTTTTAATGTGACAGAAATGATCCTCACAAACATTCAGAATAATTAATCTGAGATATTTATTTGAACTGCAGACATAAGAAGAACAAGATGACAACAAAATATATGTCGCCCGGCCATTTAAGACTCCTTCAGATATCCCAGCATGCAAAGCTGAAAGAGCAGATTTGTTTTGAATATAATTCAAATAATCAAAACCTTGTTTTTAGTTATAAAACCAAAGTTTTATAACTGTGTGTGTGTATCAGTGAGTGTGCACCTGGTAGTGAGCCAGTGTGTGTGTGTGTGTGTATCAGTGAGTGTGCACCTGGTAGTGAGCCAGTGTGTTCAGTCTCTTCCAGTCGCTCTCTATCTTGGTGGTCACGTCTTCGTCCTGCAGGATGATCCTGGTCAGTCGACCTTGACGCCACTCTGACATCACAAACACACAGAGCGTGGTCACATGATGTCATGATCCTCAGACAGGAAGTGAGACAGTGAGACAGTTCTTACCGAGGTCCATGTCGTCGGCCTGAGGTCTCTGAGAGAACGGGATCCCCTTATAAACAGCGTCCAGCAGCTTGTCTTTGACCTGAGTCACCGTGTCACAGTTCAACACCTTCACCGGGACCTCTGTACCTGTCTCACCCTCCGGAGGGATGCACATCAGAGTCTGGGACAGAGAGAGAGAGAGAGAGAGAGAGAGAGAGAGAGTGTCTGTCTGAACTTCATCACACTCTTTGTTGTCACAGTGAAACATCTTTATCGATTGGTTGTTGAACTGGATAAATGGACATAAATGATATAAATGTATATAATGCAACAAAATAAGACCAAAGTGTTTTCACTAAAGTTGTGTGTGTGTGTGTGTGTGTGTGTAGGTGTGTGTGTGTAGGTGTGTGTGTGTGTGTCTGTTACCAGCTGCTTGTAGTCGATCTGTTGTCTGATCAGTTTGTCTTCACTCAGAGAGTAACGAGCTTCTCCTGTGATCGCGTCTATCGGCCCTTTTTCCATCTGCTGCTTTATGGCACAATACAACATGAAGAGAGGCTCACCTGCACACTCCTGAGAGACAGACAGGCAGTTAGAGAGATGGAGAGACAGGGAGATAGACAGACAGACGGGAAGACAAATAGACAGACAGACAGTTAGAGAGATGGATAGACAGGGAGATAGACAGACAGACGGGAAGACAAATAGACAGACAGACAGACAGTTAGAGAGATGGAGAGACAGAGAGACAGGATGACAGACAGGTAGAGAGACAGACAGAAAAGAGACAAAGAGAGAGAGAGACAGTGTCAGGTCTGAATTCCTTCATTACAACAGTTTAATCCTTAAACTCATCAGCAGCAGGATTTTAACCAATCACTTTATTTTCCTACGAATAAATCAAGTTACAGCTCTGATCTGATTGGTCACGGTCAGACTGAGGAGGAGGAGCTTAACAAGCTCTATTAGAGAGAAGAGGAGGAGGAAGTGAACCAACGAGGAGACGACAGGTTACCTTGAGGAAGCGATGCAGCAGGAAGGTGAACCAGTTGGTCAGCATCTTCTCGGCCACAGACTCCGTCCTGAACACACAGAGGTCTCGGGTCAGGACCAATGCCTTGGATCATACACAGTCCAAGATATTTCATTGTCTAAGGTAAGAAGGATAAAGGTTGAAGGAGGTGCACCGACCTCCTCAGAAGTAGTTTAGGATGGTTTCTGTTCTCCAGATTCTTCTCGATGAGGTCGGCCAGCAGCTGTTTCAACACCACTGTAGCATATTCCATCCGACCCTGAGAGACAGATATCAAGTCAGCCCACTGCTCCTCATGCTTAGGATGGTTCAATGTAGACGTCACATTCTATGTCTTGTTTTTAACGTTTTGAATTTCTAACCAGATATTGATTGATTTATTCACCTACAACACTTCTTTACCATCCAACATCTATTAACTATTATCAACAGTTATTACCATAAACCCATCATCTATTAAACATCTATTAACAGTTATTAACACTTATCACCACATACAAAGCATCTATTAACAGTTATTAACACTTATCACCACATACAAAACATCTATTAACTGTTATTAACACTTATCACCACCAACAATACATCTATTAACAGTTATTAACACTTATCACCACATACAATACATCTATTAACTGTTATTACCACTTTTGACCATCTACAAAACATATATGTTGGTATTACAAATTATCACCAACCTAATAAACACCTATTAACTGCTTTTAACAATTATTACATCAATAAAACATATATTAACCACTTTACAACACTTACCATGCCTACAAAACATCTATTAACAGGTATTACCATCAACACCACTTCTATTAACAGTTATTACCATCAACAACACTTCTATTAACAGTTATTACCATCAACAACACTTCTATTAACAGTTAACAGTTATTACCATCAACAACACTTCTATTAACAGTTAACAGTTATTACCATCAACACCACATCTATTAACAGTTATTAACAGTTATTACCATCAACAACACTTCTATTAACAGTTATTAACAGTTATTACCGTCAACAACACATATTAACAGTTATTAACATTTTCAATCATCTACAAAACATCTATTAACTGTTATTAAAACCTATCACCGCTACAAAACATGTATTAAACACCTAATAACCAGTTTATAACAATGTTAGATGTGCTATAGGAGGTACCTGCAGAGCGGCCATCAGCAGCGAGGCGACGTTCCCACGGTCTCTCATGGAGAACGACCTCTGAGCCTCCAGAGTGTGAATGAAGGTCAACAGGAACATCTTGTTGTTCAGTAACTGACTGAAGAGACGCAGAGCTTTCTCTACGTTCGCTGGAGACTGAAACAGAGACGCACATCTCACAGTCAGTCTGATTATTAACACCGCAATGTTCTCTAAGCTCTTACAAATAACGTCAATATTGTTCTTTATTATGGTGTTGGTGTGAATCTAGAGACATATCAATAGAAAGAGCAGCAACAGACATAGTGATTGTGACTGAGTTATTTTAAAATATACATATACATATACATATACATATA